GGAGGCGCTGTCTTTGTTCCGCCAAGGGTTAACCCGGATTGTGTCTGTCACCCAGTTGCCCGGATGCTGATGTAAGGGGAGAGCTTGAGAGATCCCTTCAGATTGCAGTGAGAGAGGAGGCGAAGGACCAGAACAGCCCAGCCCAGCCTCTCTGCCAGCATCCTTCATCCACAGCAGCACCTCTACCATCCAGCATCAGCATCAACAGCCTTGGCTGGACCAGCTGGAGGATGCTGGTACCCGGACTGTAGCATCCTTGCGCTTATCTCCTCCCCTTCCCTTTCCTTTCCTGATGCCCAGCGCATCCTCCTCTCGCTAAATTTGCCAGGATGCCGGCCCCAGCATTGTCCCTATAGGGAAGGATTTCAGGGGGGCCTCTCCTCTCCTTTCCCCTCCCTCCCCTCCCCTCCCCCTCCTACCCCAACCCCCCCTGTTTCTTATTGTTGCTCAGAAGGGTGACAGACAAAAGCCATGTCCGGTGGCAAGGAGGCAGGTGGGGTCCACCCCTACCAGCCACAACAGAGCCAGCAGCACGCTCAGTACGTGGGGCCCTACAGGCTGGAGAAAACCCTGGGAAAGGGGCAGACCGGTGAGTACCTGGTGCTTTTGCGGGAGGGTGCGTTGGAAGAGCAGGCCTGATGCCATGGGGATGGGCAGGATGGAATCCTCTCTGGGTAAGCGGTGGTGGTGGTGATGGTGGTGGGGGAACCTTTCCCCACCCCTTTGGCTTCCCTGCATCTATCATGGTGGGTGAGCTGAGGGATTGGAGAGGGTGATTGAGGTTAAATTGGCCTGGGCTTGCGGGAAGGGAGTAGAACTGTTTGTCCCACTGCAGAATGAAGGTAGGAGAGAGAGAGAGAGAGATCAGGAAAAGGAGAGATGAGGTGTTGCCATTTGGAAACTAAATAGATGGGTGGGTGGCATTAAGGGGAAGGTTAGGTTCTTGCTTTCCTGGAGGGTTTTTTTTGGGGGGGGGATTGGGGAGGAAAGTCCTATTTGGGGAAATGGTGGCTGTAAAAGAGGGAGACGGAACTGGTGATGTTGGAGCACCTTAGCTGTGTCAATTTCTCTTTGGGATATTGGTGAAGGGATCTTAGAAGGGTAGGGGTGTTAAAAGGTTTATGTGTGGGGTTTACCTTTTAGGCTCTTGGAATTTCTTCAGCGTGCATGTGGATGGCAGATAAATAGTTTGCTTTAGAGGTAGTAGGCAGACATACACTTCCTTCCTTCCTTCCTTCCTTCCTTCCTTCCTTCCAGAATTAGGCTTTGAAAGGGGTGTCAGCATGTTCCCACTGAGTGGCCAGTCCTGTTTCGTCATTGTAGGGTGCCATAGTGTGTATGTGGTAGGACCAAGGGGTGTGTGTGTATGGATGTGGATGTCCATGTATACACAAATATGTAAATGGAGCTTGGAATGGGAAAGATGCTAGTGGGCCACCCGCCTTTCATAGATCGGGGTCAGGGTCAGTGCCTTTTTTTTCAGGTTCCTGGACCAAAGCAATTGGGGCCTCAAACAGAAAAAAAATTAGGTGAGGAGATCCCTTAATTTAAGGGGGGGGGAAATTACTGCAATGACCAAGGTTGATTAGGAAAAGGGAGAAAAGCACCAGAATACAGTAAATGCCCCAAATATTTAAGCGAGATTGGGACGGGGTGCACCTGAGCATCCTTTTCTGTTTCATCTCTCCATCATTACTGTACCTTGTTGAGAGTGATAGTGGTGCCGGCTCTGTGTGTGTGTGTGTGTATATGTGTGTGTGTGTGTGTGTTCCGGAAAGGCCTATAGATTTCTCTCCCTCCCCCCAGTCTTCTTCTTCTGCTGCAGCACTCTGGATGAATGGAACAGGGTTTTTTCCCCCCCTACTCTTTGCAGGGAAGCCAATTCGATTGTGCGGTTTAGATTATTGGGTTTGGTTACAAGAGAGATTGTTTGAATAAATGCCTATGGCTGAGCTATGTGACAAAGAGCGAAGGAAGACCGATTTTGTCACATCCCTCCCTTTCTCGGTTGCTAGATGGACGGTTTAGGATGGGAGGTGGAAGGCTCCATCCGTCTCTCTCTGCAATGATGCAGGAAAACCCAAATCGCCAGGCCTGCCTCTCTTTCTCATTCTCTCTCTCTCTCTCTCTCTCTCTCTCTCAGTTTGTGTGTGTCTGTGTGTACAACAAATGTTGTGGCTGAAAAAAAAAGGAGAGAGGGTTACTGCAGTGGCAGGGGGAGGGAGGGGAGAGATTGTGACAGAGGAAGAACAGACCCAGGATGTTTATGTGTGAACATGTCCAGGAGAGGTGTGTATTTGTGTGCGTGTATTATAGTCATCATCATAATAAAGATCTGAAGCAGGTAGGTGTAAGAGGCAGATGAGGCACTAGGGGATAAGGGAGGGTGGGATACTGCTGAATAATCAGTTCTCCACTGTGGCAGAGGCAGTTCACGCAAAGATGTTTCAGGAATCAGACCAAATAGATAGACAGAACGATGGAGATTGTTGCCGATTTGGGGGAGGAAAGGCCTAGTTATTTGCTGTACCCCGGAAAGAGGAAAGAGAAAGACAAACTAATGCCTCATTCAAAAGAGCAGAGTTCTCGTTCTCTCTCTCTCTCTCTCTTTTTGGTCAGATGATCTTGTCACTGTTTTCCTGACATTCTTTTCCCTGTTTTTAAGGAGTGTTCCCTTGTTCCCTTTTGAAAAGGAGCACTATTATTATTGGGAGCATCCTCTGTGTAGTCAAGTGCCTTAATAGGGAACAGCTAAGCCCTTTTACAAGTGACTTGCCCAAGGTCACCTAAGGGATGTTTGTGGTGGAAGTAAAAATCAAAACATTCGGTGTATCCCTTCCCAATTGTGTTCACTTTCTTTTTTTCACTGTAGAAGACAGTGAGCTGGGATTCTCCAAAGAGTGAGCGGGGTATGTGGGTGATGAAAGGCGTGTATACCTATGCAATCAAGAAACAATTTGCACATTGGGGAAAAAAATAGTATTTCTAGGCAGAAAAATGGCAAATTTATTTATTTATTTATTTATTTGATTTATATCCTGCCCATCTGGTATATTCTACCACTCTTTATATATTTAGAAATAGGAACAAGTTAGTATATGCTCCTATACCTGAAATTCTGCACCAGTAGTGGCCAAAAATCTCAAATGCTGTAGCTGCGATCCATTGTGTAGGCTGCTGTTTTTGCATTTCAGTGTTTTGGTTTAGTTGCTAGACTCTAGTCACTTGATCATCTTTGATTTGGGAGGCCAGTTGGTGAAATCTCTTTGGGGTGGATTTAGAAAAGATTAGTTACACGTTTAGTCCCATTGAAATTAATGGGGAAGCCAATGGGACTCCGTTTTTTTTGGAAATGAAATGTGGTTAACTCCATCTAAATCCAACTTGCTGAATATAACATAGGCATGTCTGTCAAACTTAGAATACTTGCTACAATTTTTATAAAGTATTTGTAGGGAACAGAGCTGGATTTCAAAAATATGAGCAGGCAACACAGAGATAAGCACGTTTTTTAAAAAATATATATGTACAACCCCCTTTTTCTCTTACCTTATGCCAACCATTTATAAAAGGTTGTAACTCAGGGAGTTAGGTGTCTGATGGTAAAGCCAAAGGTTGGGAGTTTGATTCCCTGCTGTGATTTCAGATAGGAGAGCCAGCCTGGGCAAGCTGCATAGTTCTAGCATGCCTCCAGAATAATATATAACTTCTGAGGACTTTCTACGTAGAAAAACCTGAAAGGGGCTGCCATAAGTCAGAATTGACTTGATGCCACGATTATGATGATGATGATGATAGCTTACCTTGTGGATGTTGAGAGATCTGTGGCACATGAAAAGACAATGTTTAGATTATCTTTGCTCATAGAATTACGGTAAACAAATATATAAAGTCCAAAGAGAGCTGTAACTCTTAATGTGTGGAATGTAATTAACTTTCCTCACTTGGTGTCTTAATAACTTAGGAGGGTCATCAGCATCAGATAAAAATGCTGGAGCCGCTCTATGGAGTGACATCCTGGATCTAGTCTAGTGGTTGTCAACTATTACCTGTCAACATGTTTTACATCCCAGAATCTTTGACCATTGACCACGCTACCTGAGACTTCTGGGAGTTGAAGTCTAAGACAGCTGACCTAGAATCCTCTTGGAGTCACGCAGTGTGTAGGCAATAGCGCAGATCAACCCACCTCTGCACTGTTTTCCATTTTCTGGACTCCTCTGCTTCCTCGGACCAAGGAAACCATTGCATGATGGACCGCAAGCCAAGAAAGAAAAACTAATGTGTAACTTCCCTTCTACATGTGGGTTTTTCCTTTTGGAGTCTGGTCCCAGAGGGCTAGAGCTGAAAAACTACTAATCTGCCCCATCATTCTGCCTGAAACATTATGCCCTTAACCCAATAGTCCACTTGAGTCATTTTTAGATTTTTAGAGTTTAATTATCATGCTTCCCTCTCATGCTTTAGATGGAAAAATGTATTACTTCACAGACTTCAAATGTTGTGGTAGGTGTTTCCTGTGGCATTTGGGGGCCTTCCTGTTCATTCTAATCAGCGGAGCCCTGGACATCTTTCCCAAAGTCCTGCTCTCAGAGCACCACTGCTTATACCAGTCTTGTACATGCATGCTCCAGTGCTGCTAATGGGGAAAAATTGTGCCAACCCATATACTCCAACTGTTACTGCTAGAGACAGCCCATCTATTCCAGTACCTGTCCCTACTAAACCTCTGCTTCTTTATCCCTATTTTTTATCTTTTTTATGAGATGTTGTACTGAAATGTTGGTAGGTGACTTGCTTAGGTTTATGATATTCTGTATCTTTATTTTGAATGGAATAGTATCACTCTGCAGATTTCAGCTGGCAACCTTCAGTTAAATCTCTCACTGGTTAATGGAAGTACAGTATATGAACAGTAAAATACTCAAGGCCAGCTCAGGACACTTTGCTACCTGAGAACGAGGTATAAAATATCCAGAAGCTAGGTTACTTAAGCTCCTGACGCGGAAAAACTTGCAAGAACCTCTCACCATGAACGGGAACAAAAATATAATAATATGTCAGATAGCAAAGAACTTGTTGACCTTTCATGGCATCCTAAATGAGGCAGTCACTTCATCCTGCTTAATGTTTGGTCCAGCTCTAAAAACACTGTACAATATTTCACACCCTGCTCCTGCTGAAGTATATTTTGAAGTTTTAGAACATATTGTAGATAGGACTGTTCACCAAACATTCCTTTAGTCAAAAGAACAAACACAGTACTGGCTTTCAAATAAGTGGTTATTGCAGAATACACAAACACAGCATGTAGCAGCTTGAGTAGAGATTTCGGTAATGTGTCATAGTATGTTTGTGTGGCTCAGGCAATAATCTGTAGTCTAAGAACTGAGGTGCTAATAAGTAGAAGGTATTTACAGTACATAGTTTCATACACAGTTTGGATGTAATGCATTTACAGGTAATAACATTGCCTCTAACATATGATTTTTGGACATGTTGCTTTTTTTAGGGTACGGTGAATAATGTTTGCATGCTGTTTCTAAAAGGTTACTTTATGGGGTCCTTTAGGGGCTAGATTTTGGTCAT